AAAAAACAGTGCGCGGGGGGGGTCGGACACTCCCAGGCCGTCATCAGGGGAAGAGGGAGAGTAGTATTCATATTGAGTAATTGTGGAGGAGGAGGGGGAGGAGGAGGAGGAGGAGGAGGAGGAGGAGGAGGAGAAGGGAGGAGGGGGAAGGTGGAAGGGAGTAGAAGGAATAGGCGGACGGGGAGGAGGCACTGGAGGAGTGCGAGCAGAAAGGCCAGAGGAATCTCGTTTTTGTGTCCTCAGAGTCTCTTCGGATGTATCCCGAGAGCTTCTTGCAGGCCTGTTGAGGCGCCTTGGGGGCCCCTTGGCGGTCCTGGGGAGCCCTTGAAGCGTCTTGGGTGCCTCGGGGGAGCCTCTTGGGGTCTCTGGGGGGTCTCTGGGGGGAGGGTCTCGGGCGGCATCTTGGGGGCCTCTTGGGGCCTCCTGGGCGCCTCTTGGGGCCCTCTTGGTGCACGCTTGGGGGCCTCGGGGGCCATCTTGGAGGTGATCGATCAAAAAAGGGGGGTCCAGTCAGCCCCCCCCCCAAAGAATGCCCAAATTGGCCCGAATTCATTGTAAAAAAGCGATATTGGCCTTCTCGCCGAGGCCATCTTGGACGCTCTAACGACCCGCCTTCCCTGTCCAGGTTCAGGGGTAGGGGGTAGGGGGAGGGGTAAAATCCTTCGCGAAGGGGAAGAAGGCGAGTCGGAAGAGGAAACTCGCTAAACCACTCACGCCCGTAAGGGCTGGTGGGATTCAGGATGAAGAGGTGTTCCTGGGGAAAGCCTTGGGGTCGAGAACTCCAGTCGGGAGTTCCCGAACCGTGCGGTGACCACACCGTGTGGTGAGTCAGTGGGGATTCGGGGATACCGCACGGTGTTATAACTCGGATCGTTCTGCGATGACGTCTTGGGCGACAGGGACCTCCAAGGTCCCATGGCCGTGCGGCGACGGACCGTGCGGTGAGGTCGTTTGGGGTTCTGAGGTCACCGCGCGGTCTGTCACCGCCCCGCGTTTGGATCCCCAAAGAGCGATTCAGGATGAAGAGCTGATCCTGGGGAAAGCCCTGGGGTCCAGGACTCCAGGACGGATGCACCTCCTCGGAGGTTTAAGTCGGCATCGGCGATAGTACACCCGTGGTCGACAACAGGCCTGATCCGGCACAGTCTCGCACAATCCGACCGAGTCGGGCTTAATCCTGGGCTCAATCCGGGCGAATTCGGTTCCATGGCCTCTCAGTCTGGCTCTGCAGCCCTTCATACTTCTCGCGAAGACCTCCGCGCGTTGCCTCGGGGACCACGCGCTTCCTTCAGGACTCAGGACCCTCTTCCCTTTGTGGCAGCAGGGCCCTCGGGAAGGCCAAGTCCCTTTTCGGGAGGCCCAAGATGACGAACGAACGAACAACACACACACACACCCATACCCATACGGGCGGTCGTTGGGAGGAGGACTGGCTATGGGTATGGGTGCGGGTTGTCGGACCCTGGGGAACGCTCCCGGTCGAGCGGGGACCCCCATCCGACGACACGTACCCATAGCCCTCTCCGACCCCCCTATGGGCATGGGTGTGTGTTGTTGGTTCGTCACAAGACGCCCCTCGCGAGGGCCAAGGCGCCCCTCGGGAGGCCCCAGGCGCCCCTCGGGGAAGCCCAGGGCGCCTCCCGTGACGCCCAGGACGCCCTGGCCCTCCCGCGAGGCGTCTGGGGCCTCCCGGGCGGCGCCTTGGGCCTCCCGGGAGGCGCCTTGGGCTTACGGGAGGGCCTCTTATAGCTCCCGGGACGTGTGCCTCCCGGGAGGCCCAAGACGCCTGCCGGGAGGACCAGGTCCCAGCCCCCTGACGTCATGATTTTTTCATGACGTCGACCCCAAAGGTTTCGACCTGTTTCCCAGGACCGGTCCCGAGGCCCGGTAAGGGCCCCGAGATGCCGAAAATCGTGAAAAACCTCCCGTCGTGATTTTTTTAATTCCTCGAGGGGGTCTGGGGAGGTGGTGCGCAGGCGGGGGCACACGGCGAGGGGGCGGGCGGCCTCCTGGGCTGGCACGGGGGCCCCTCGGAGGCGATCCACTGGCCCGCTCTCCGGAGGCTCGCTGCGGGGGCGCCCCCATCGGAACCCAGACCCCCTCGAGTCGCGAAAAAATCATCACGGGAGGTTTTTCGCTATCTTCGCACCATGGGGACCCTTACCGGGACTCGGGACCGTCAAAAAACGGCTCGGGACGAAAAACTGGTCCCGGGGAATAGGTCGAAACCTCTGGGGGTCGACGTCATGAACAAATTATGACGTCGGGGGTCTGGGAAGGCAGGGCGCTGTCTGACAGGCGGTGCGCGTTCTCAGAAGGCCGCCTTCCTCAGTATCGTTTTTCCCGATCCCCAACCCCATCCTGATCCCTGTCCCGATCCCCACCATCTTGCCACCCCAGTTGGGGACATGCCTTTCGAAACCCGAAGGGAACAGCCTATATCCCCATCCAGGGGGGGTGAATCGGCCAGTGGTGCCCAGGCAACGCCAGTGGGGATAGGATAGGATCGGTTCATCGATGTCCACTTCCCTCGCTAGCCCCGCCCTCTTTTTTTTCGCGCTGCCAACGATCGCTCTAGGGGCGCCACCCACGCCGACGTTCTCAGTTGACCCCTGCCCCGAGCAGGCACCGCGTGCTAGAAGTGATGGGCCTGTTCCCACCACCACCACCATAAGTTGGAGGAGGAGGAGGAGGAGGAGGAGGAACCCCTCCCCCTCCTACTTATCGTGGCGGCGGTGGAAAACAATCCCACCAAGAAGCGCCCCCCGTCGGTGCACGAACGGTCAGGAGCGCACGGTCCTGGCCCACCGCGCTTCGGCGCGACACGCTAGCCGCGTCCCAGTCTCCGAGCATCAATGGTCCAAGCCTTTCCCAGCCCCCCGCCCCGCGGAGTGGAGCGACACGCTACAGTGGAGGCCCATGCCAACAAGCACCCTGCTTGCCTCCAGGGTGCCCTGGGCTTCTTGGGCTTCGATACTTCTGCAATGGGAAGCGTGACATCCCCGTGGACGTCCTTGGGTCTCCGGGTCGGGCTTCTTGTGGAAGGTCTCGTGTGGACTGGCCTCCACTGTTCGCTTGCAAGACAGCGCATGTCACCAGGCCCCCCCCGCAGCGGACCCCCCTTGTTCGCACGCAAAGGGCTGGGACGCGTGACTCCCTGCAGTCTCGGGCGACTGGGGCCTCCGGGGTCCCAGAGCCGTGCGACGACGGACCGTGCGGTGGTGCGGTCGCCAGGGATTCCGAGGTCGCCGCACGGTCTGTCACCGGCCCTCCCTTGGACCCCCAAAGAACCACTCAGGATACGGGGGGGCCGTTCGTTAAAGAACGTGCCCAGGAGGCTTCCGGCCCTGGAGGGTTCTTTTTTTGATGAGGGCGGCGGTGATATCAGTGGCCAATCCACGATCGGCTTTCCACCGGCATCCAGACCCTGGATTCCTTATCGAAGGCTTCCTCATCCATCACCGTAAAGAGCTGGTCCTGGGGAAAGCCTCGCGGCCCAGGACCCTGCAGTCTCTCGTGTCGCACCTCCGGGACTGCCCCCCCCCCCCGCAGGACCTGCAGAGGCGGGATGAGCAGCTCAGGACCGCCCCTCGTGCTGCCGTCAACGCGTTGCCTCCTCCCCTCTCTCTCGCGCGCTCTCTCTCTCTCTTTTCTATCGCCCTCTATGTTTTCCGATGTTCTCCCTCACCCTTCTTCCACACATCTATCCTTACGTATACACAGATATATGTATCTGAGCACACACACACACACACACACTTGCGTACATACATAGACAGTATACCCCACATCAAGATTCATCTCTCGCTCTCTATTTCTCATCTCTCTCTTCCTCACTCCTCTCTCACTCGCCTCTCTCTCCCTCTCGATATTTCTGTCTTCCGCTAATGGGGCCTCCCTCTCCCCACCAAATCCCTCCCACTCCATATGCGTCCCACCCCATGCCCTATCCCCTTCTCCCTACCTGCACTCCTCTCTTGTCTCCTCCACCTCCATCAGAGGCTCGCACTAGTGAGCTACACTTTCCAGGTGCCTGCGCCAAGTTCCGCCACGGTTCCAGGGTATCACTCTGCTTGATGACCCCCAGATGATCAGAGCGCCGCAAGATGTGCAACGGTTGGTCATTTGGCCTCGACGGGGATGGGCTGGTAATTTTCTTGGAGCGTCCTCGGGCATCTTGGCAGCCCGCTTAGGGTGCAACTCCTGGGAAGTGAATTGTTACCTCAGGACTGTTGCCAGTACAACGGACGCCATGGGACCCTCCCAGCCATCCTTGCCCCTACAAGGCTTGGGAACGGGGGCTCAAAGTCATTGGTGCGCGTTTGCACATGTGGAACAGTCGGGCGGCCCGCCTGAAGCCTGAAGCAGAGACTTAGGAGGAGGAGGAGGACGAGGAGGAGGAGGAGGAGGGAAGGAGCCACAGCGTTAGTTCAGAGTGGAGCAGGCGGGAAGGGGTGGAGACAGAGGATCCGTGGTGGATGCAGCCCGTCGTGGCAGGAGCGACGGCCCCTGCCGGAGAATGCGATCTGCAAGCTCCAGTTCGGGGGTCATAGGCTCCTAGGGGGGATGCATCGACCCCCTATCGCTCGTTCATCGCCGACAGGCCCCACCCCGCCCAGGATCGTTCGGATCTGCTGTTGGTGGCCTGTCGCAGATCTACCGGCGATGCATATCGCCGATTCCAGGTCGATGTTCCTCCCCCTCAGCGTATCCTCCCCTAACGTTGCTCATCCTTCTCTTGGCGCACATGACCAGGTATGTTCCTGGGAGGGCAGAGGCGATCCATGAACATCTGCTGGCTCATTCCGAAAACCGGCCTGGGAAGTCAGACATGAGGCGACGCAGCAACCAAACAAGACGAGCCACGGGAATTTACCGATTCGTTCTCGAGGTTCCCTGGCTTGTCTCAGAGCGTCCTGGCTCTTACCTTCGATTCTTGGTTCGCTTGTTTCCCCGCGGCGGGAGGTTGTAAAACCGTCTCGCTGCGCCTCGTTCGCAAGAGCCCAGGCTGGCCCGCGCGGACTTGACCAAGGAGGCCGCGAGGATCAAGCACCTCAGCAGCAACCTGGACGAGGCCAAGGAGTACAACGCGAAGGTGAAGGCGGAGTTCGAGGCTCCCGGCGGGGCCGATTCGGCGGGGTCTCGGCTGGGCCATGAGCGTTCTGCTTGCTGCGTCCATCGGCACCCTGTGTGTTGAAGTACAGTCGGGGCCCTGAAGAAGGAACCCTTTTCGTTGGGGAGGGGATCCGCGTTCCTTAAGTGTTTCACAGCTTGCCTTGGATTTTCCTTAGGTCTTCGATAGGAAATCGAAGTTCAACTTATGGAGAAAAGGGGCCTCGTTCCTTATTTAGGGTTCCTTACGTCAACGCCCCGACGGTAGTTGCGCACAGGAGGGAAAAGGGTACTGATACCGCTGCCTTTCCCTCGTGCGGCTTGCTTGGGCCTCCTGGTAATTCGGCCCTCGTCGCCACGACTGGATTCGCTACGACATTTTGGTCAGGATGCACCCCGGGAGAGCTCTGGGGAGCAACGGTCTGTGTATATGTATATATATATAGACCGTTACATATAGTTATATACACATATATACACATATAGACCACCTGACAAATCTAGACATATCTGTATATGGACATATATATATATACACGGTTAGATCGATTGATACATGTGTATAGATGTATATAAATATGTGTGTGAATGTGTACATCTATAAAAATACACACATACATACACAGGCCATGTATCTAAACATAGAGTGGTTTCCGCATTAACGCCACTTGTCGTGCAGGCCCCCCGAAAGAAGGCCTGCAAGGGAGGTCGCCCATATTCCCCTGGCGCGCGCATTGCCCACCGAGCACCCCGCTAGTGAACTACTGCGAATGTCCCCGCTAATGACCTGCGGAAGACTGGGACGCACTGGTGCAATTTAACCCACGGGTGGCCCACTCATTCATTTGTCACTGTCCATGGGCCGCACCTGATCCTTGAAAGCATCAGTCTATCTCTCCCGCGCCCTGCCGAGAGCGACGAGGTCGTGGGCGCGGACGTGGGCGCGAGCGACAGAGCAGGCAAGGCTGCGAGCGCTCGGGGCGGGTCTCCCTTCGTGGGCGGTCGAGCTGGCTTTCCGTCGGAGGCGAAGCCAGACGGCGGTCCGTGTCCTCTTGGGGCTGGGCTCGCTGTCGGTGCCGGGACGAGCGGAGGCGAAGGCCGACGGCGGTCCGTGTCCTTTTGGGATTGGGCTCGCTGTCGGTGCCGCCGCGGACGTTGCCCTCTCGAGGCGGCAGGTCGCCTGCCAAGCAGCGACCGCTGCCGGTGCTTCCGTACTATACCCACTGCGGTCCTATATGCCTCTTTCGGGTATGGCCAGGGCCCCGGGTAAGGGGACCCGGTCAGTGGTAGGACCCCGGAGCCTTCGAATTGGCCAGAATCACTGAACCAGGTTAGCCATAGCTGGTGTTTTTTCGTGTGACGGCAGTTCCGGTTAGTGGAGACGGGGGAGCGCCCCCGGTACAGATCACTAAACCATGTTCCACTGAACCCAGTTCTACCAACGCCCGACTCTTGGGGGGGGGGCACTTCCCTGGAGGCTCTCGGGAGCGGGGCCGGTGCCGCGCTGCAGGGGGGGGGGGGTCTTTGGCGCCTCCCGAGCGGGCCCTGGCCAGGAGAAGGTCGCGCAGCTCGAGGCCCGGCCCGTCCGCCCCGCGTCGGGAGGGGGAGGAGGAGGAGGAGGAGGAGGAGGAGGAGGAGGAGGAGGAGGAGGAGGAGGAGGAGGATGAGGAGGAGGAGGAGGAGGAGGAGGAGGAGTCCGTAGCCGTTTTGGCTCAGGCGGTGTGCTCGAGGCTTTGCGTTTTGGCGTGGGGAGCTCGCGGCCCCAACAGTTTCCTGGCGTTGACCCGCCAGAGTACACGATACACCTCATCATGCTTCAGTTCGGTTCTGTACTGGGGTAGTGGCCCCATCTCGGCCGTACTTCTCTTCCATACGATGTCAGGGTGGGGTTGCCGAACGTGCAGTGTGTGGAACAATGGCGACCGCGCCAAATGCTATGGGTGTGGAGCCTACAACCCGAATGGTAAGCAGCCCAGTGGACAGGACCCAACCCCAGCCCGAGGCCAATGGGAGTTCGGGCCACCGCCGTTGGGTACCCCACCGTGGAGCTACCAGCAGGCCCCGCGCAACTTCTTCCGCTCGCCCTGGGTCCAGAAAGGTTCGCTGTCAGGTGGCAGGCTCCAGCAGGGTTGGCATGGAAATCAAAGTTGGCATGATCCGCAGCCCCTTTCGGATGAAGAGAAGGCTCAGTGGTTGTCCCTGGACGACAGCTCCTTCCAGTTACTCTCGGGGCGTCTCACTCAGAGCCAGCGGGACAAGCTTGCGCACGCCAGGAGGCTTAAGGCAGCTGGACAAGGCGTCCCAGATGGGGTCGAGGTCCCGCGGTCGGTCCAGGCGCTCCAGCACAAGCTTGTCGAACTTCAGAGGAAGGAGGAGCGCCAGGTCGAAGCTGCCAGGAGGGCCCTCCAGGCGGTGGGTCAGACCCAGGCGCAAGTGGAGGAGACCAGAACACAGCTTGACAAGGCCAAAGCGGATGCAGCCAAGGCCTTCGTGGGCAGCCCGACTTCGCAAGTCCAGGCAGCTCTTCAAGGGATGGACGCCAAGATCCAGGAGCTGCTCACCACCTTCGCCGAAGGCCTCGCCGCCTCGCCACGTCGGAAGGGGGTCGAGGAGAGGACGAAGCAGCTCTTGGAGGTCGTTGGGCAATTCAAGGCCACCTTGGGGGAAGCTTTCTCAGCCCTGGGCCCCACGGTCCCAGCGGCTGGAGCGGGACAGGCCACCTCCCCTGCGCTGGCAGCAGCAGACACGGGCGGAGCCCCCCAGGCTGGGGGCACTGCAATTTCGGCCCCAGCGGCGGCAGTTCTGGCGGCCTGCGCATGGTTCGGGGTTGGCTGCCGGCCCGGTGGGGGAGGGTGTGTTTATCAATCGGGAGCAGTGATAAAAACCTCCCCGAAGTGGAAGAAGTGGATTGGACAGGGGCTCTCTGAACCACTCACGCCCAGAGGGCTGGTGGGATTTCTAAGACGAGCGTGAGCGGCGCCAAGGCGAGAGCCACATTTTGAAAACTACCCGCCGTCCATGGGTGAAACTCTTGCACATCTTCAGCTCCAGTGTCATGAATGGTAAGGGAGTCCCAGGCGAAACGCCCAGCCCGCCCCACCGAAACGCCTCGGAGTGCGACAGGGAGGAAGCATCTCCAAGGAAGACGAATGGAGGAGGCGGAGGCGGGGGAGGATGAGGATAAGGACCGTGGAGGGTCTGTTGGAAGGGGCGAGGAGGAGGGACGAGGAGGAAGGACGATGAGGAAAGAAAGACGAGGGAGGAGGAGGACGAGGAGGAGGACGAGGAGGAGGAGGAGGAGGAGGAGGAGGCAGGAGGAGTGAGCTTTGTCTTCCTCCGCGGCCGCTTCTCCTCCTGGCCCCTCCACGGCTGCCTCTCCTCCTGGGCCTGCCGCGGCCTGCAGGCCCCTGGCCGGCGCCTCGTTCCTCCGCGTCGCCGCTGGCAGAGAGGTGCTTGCCTCCCCCCTCCTCCTCCTCCTCCTCCTCCTCCTCCTCCTCCTCCCTCCTCCTCCTCCCACGTCCTCCCCTCCTCCTCCTCCACGTCCTCCTCCACATCCTCCCATTTCTCCTCCTCTCATCATTTCCTCCTCCTCCTCCTCTCCTCCTCCTCCTCTCTTCCTCCTCCTCCTCCTCCTCCTCCCCCTCCTGCTCATCCTCCTCGTCCTTCGCCTTTTCCTTCTCCTTCGTCCCTTTTTCTTCCTCCTCCTCGTCCTCCCTCATCCTTCCTTCATCCCTCGTCCTCGTACCTCCTTCTCGGTCCTCTTCCCCCTGGTCGTCCCCCCTCGTCCTCCCCCTCCCCTCTTCTCCCCCCTCCTCCTCCTCCGCCTCCTCCTCCGCCTCCTCCTCCTCCTCCTCTCCAGGGGCAGCATGAAGGGGGGGGCTCGGGGGGCACCGCCTCGACCGCCAATCGCCGACATCGCTCGATGGCCCACCTCGCCCAGGGTCGTGCCGTGCGCATCCGCCATCGGGGGCCTCTTGCCGACCTATCGGCGATGCATCGCCGACTCCGGGTCGATGCTCCCCCCCTGAGCTGGCCCCCCTGATGCCCCAAGCTTACTCGATGCCCCAGACGGCCCAGTGACGGACGCACCTTTCACGCCAAGGCTTCCAGGGGCTCCAGGTTGCGGTCAAGGCCCCCCAAGAGCTCCAAGTTGCGGCCAACGTATGTTCAGGCGAGGCGGTGGCGCAAGATGCTCTCAACGCCAAGGCTCCAAAGAGCTCCACAAGGCGTCCGAAGCCCTGAACGCCAAGGCTCCTCATATTCTGGGTTTCTTAATAAGCGTAGGGGGGTACCCCCCCGACGGGGGTCAATCTCGCCTCGTCGTCGCGCCGCGACGGGGGTCGGAGCGCCTTCGGCGCGCGGTGGCTGCCCGCGACGGGGGTCGATGTGGGGCTGTCGGCGGGGGTGACGCCCCCCCGACGCTTACCAAGAAACTCTGAGTACGATTGGCGTTTGAACGATGACGAGCGATGCAGCGCCACTGGCCTTATTATTCAATCGCTTCGCTCATTCCGCCGGCCCGTATTGTGCCATCGCAGGCGTTTGCCTGCGCGTTCGTGGCCACTTGGGGCCTCTTGGGAGCCGTTTGGGGGCCGTTTGGGCGCCTCTCGGGGTCTTTTTGGGGCCTCTTCGAGGCCTTGTGGAACCCCTCTTGGGGCTTATTGGGGGCTTATTGGGGCCTCCTGGGCGCCTCTTGGGGCCGAGGGCTCGATATGTCCGTTCGAGTTCCCCGTATGGCCCCCTCTTGGGGCCGTCCTGGGGATATCTTGGGCTGTCTTGGAGGCCTCTTGGGCGGTCTTGGGACCCTCTTGGGCCCTCTTGGGGCTGTCTTGGAGGCCTCTTGGGCCGTCGTGGGGCGATATGTGGGGCCTCGTGGGCCGTCTTGGAACGCCGGGAAGCCGAGCATAAGTATGAGAACGGCAAAATCCTTCAAACACTGAAGAGAAATCTATGGCTTTTGCCTTCTGGAGCCCTCTTGAGACGCTCCTTCGAGGCCCCTTTGGGCGCCTTGGGAGCGTCTGCGGCCGTGTGGAGGCTATCTTGGGCGTCTTGGATCGATCGGTCGGCGACTCGGAGCCCTCTTGGGCCGTCTTGGAGACTCTTGGGGCCCTCAAGGAGCGCTCGGGGGCGCCTGAAAGCCGCACCCAGAAGGAAAACCCATCCCTGAGTAGTACCGGCCGGGGTACTTTTCGTCCAGGGACCCCCAAGGGCCACCCCGCGCGCTCGAACTGGATATATATATATATATATATAATATATATATATATATATATATATATATCGTTTACCAGTAGCCGGAGATTTTAGCACGCCTGGCGTTTGAAAGATGGCGAGCGATGCGGCGCCATTGGCCTTATTATTCTTCACGCTTCGCGTCTCCCCACCAGCCCACCTAGAAGACCTGCCCATGAAAGCTGACCAGGAAAAGTGACGAGGAGACACATGTAGTGAAACAAAGCGGGCAACCAGGGTGAACAGAGAGATCTCTGGGAGCAACGAGGTTGCCTTGGAGGGCCTCTTCGGGCCCGCGTAGGAGGAGGAAGAGGAGGAGGAGGAGGAGGAGGAGGAGGAATATGATGACGACGACCACGACGAAGAAGAGAAAGACAAGGGAAAGGGAGACAATGAGGCCAAGGACGAGGACGAGGACGAGGACGAGGAGGAGGGCAACGAGCCCTCAAATCGCCTCTTGGAGCTTTCTTGGGACTCCTGTTGTGGGTTCTTGGGGTCCTCTGGGGGCTCTTTTGGTGGGTCTTGGGGCCCTCTTGGGGCCCTCTTGGAGCCCTCTTAGGGGCCCTCTTGGGGTCTTCTTGGGGCCACTGGAGGCCATCGATCAAAAGAAGGGGGGGCAATGTGCATTCCCCCAATGGGGCCATCAGAATTGCCTCTTGGGGCGCTCTTAGGGCCCTCTTGGGGCGCTCTTGGGTGCTCTTGGGGCCGTCTGGGGAGCCTCTTGGGCCCATCTTGAGGCCTTACAAGTAAGCGAAACGGCGATAAGGTAAACATCGTTGACGTTCCATAGGTGTTTGAATGATGTGGGTCTCTTGAGGGGTGATGAGAGGGCTCCGAGAGCACTTGGAATTGTCCTGTGGCTCTCGTCGGGCCTCTTGGAGGTATGTCGGAAGGCATCTTGAAACATCGCCGGCTATCCTGAGCCATCTCGGAGGGCATCGTGGAGCATCGGAGGCCCTCTGGGAGCCATCCTGGGCGCCCCGACACGTCGCGGCCCGCCCCGCAGAACCTCAGGGATGGGGGGAGGTAAACCTCCCGGTCTACTCTGTAAGAACGGTTTTTTGGAAGGCAGATCTGCCTTCAAAAAATTAGCCTGGCGAAGGACCCAACCATATGCAGCTGCGAGTGCCGCGCAGGATATGAGATGAGGGAGGGGGGGACGCAAGCTACGAGTAGCGCAAGGCATGCCCCATCTTCTCACAGGCACCGCGCCACTGCATGGACGAGGCACAGGGCAGCGCGGGCAGGAAGTGGCTGGCGGAGGAGGGGGGCTAAGCGGAGCGAGCCACCGCATCAGCATCAGCGCATCTTGAGACCTGTTACGGAACACGCAGGAAAAGTTA